AATTCCGAAATCTAAAAAAGTTTTGAACAGAATCAGCGAACTTCTTTGTATGGAGTCCGGTCAAACCCTGGTGGCAGCCATATTTGTTTTTATTATTAGAGGACGCTTACGCGTGTAATCATTCCATATTTGGAATTCACATTTCCTAATATGGTAGGATGAAAATACCCCATAAAATAGGACAAAATTACGGCACGCTGTAACTTATGGCGTTACGGTGGCAGATGTATAATAATGACACATATTTTGAGGGCAAATACCAAGGTGGTCTTTACTAAATATTGATAAAGATTGATAAGAGTCGATGACTATATGTTATCTATTTAATCATTTTGAACAGACAATTACAGCACAATTACACTGAACATGCAAATCCTGAAAACACATTAATAAATGAAGCCTACAATTTGGACACGCTGTGGACAACTCTGATACTCAAAACTGGGTATCCACTACAAAACAATGTTTGGAATACATTAGCATGGAAAACACATGGAAGGAGGAAAATATTGAAAATAAAAAATTCTTAATAAAACAAATCACTGAAAAATTATCAACACCAAAATCACAGTAAATAAATATGTTAAATATGGAACTAAACTTGTATATCCTGTTATAAAAACAATTTCAAATTTGAAAAAAATACCTAAACATGATCAAAAATCTGCATCATAGATTATCACTGACAAAATTAAGATTAAGTGCATATTTTTTACGAATAGAAATAAGTAGATATAGCAATATTGACCTGAAGGTCAAAATGTAAAGTCATTGATGAATGTGAAATCGAAGACGAAGAACGTTTAGTACAGGTAGTAGCTTTATCAAAATATGTGTAACTTTTTAATGAGGGTAGTACATGTTAAATAAAAAAAATTGCCTTGCAGCTGCCTAATAACAAATTTGCAATATATTTGTTTTTATTTCGGGGTGGGGTATATATTGGGATTTGTTTTTGACTCCTGTGTGTACAACATGGGAGTCTTTGCAGTTAGCCTGTCTGTGTGTGTGTGTCTGTCCGTTCCACTGATATCTCAAGAATCGTATATTGGTTATTATTGAAACTCTGTGCATATATGCTCTGGGCTAATGTCACTTATGTGCAGATTTGATTAGGTTTCGATTGAAACCATGTATATTAATTACCTAATTTGCATGATAATTAGCTAATTTTTAGCTGTTCAATGACTGTTGCACAGATATATAAAGAGCCATTCATTGGATTTTTTTAATGAAACTTGGTAAATAAATGCTCTGGACTAAAAATGGGTAAAAATCCCATATATATTAATTACCTACTTTGCATAATGTCAATTTTCGGCATTTCCACTGATATCTTCAAGTACTAATTATCACATTTCAATGAAACTTAGTACATAGATGTCATAGGACAATGCACAGACCTGATAGGTGAAATATTAATTACCTCGTGTGCATAATTAAGCTTCAGCTTTTGGTATTTCTATTACTAATCATTACTTTTCAATGAAACTTGGTACATAGATGCTGTAGGACCTGATTTATTTTAGGTAAAAATTTGTGCATATTAATCAGCTAATTTGCATAATTAGTTAATTTTCGGCTTTTACACTTTTACACTAACTACCCCATTTCAATGAAACTTGGTACATAGGTGTTCGAGGACAATGCACAGACCTGATTAGTTTTGGGTTAAAATTAGTGCATATTAATTACCTAATTTGCATAATTAGCCAATTTTCAATTTTCACACTATCTAATTATTCCATTTCAATGAAACTTGGTACACAGATTCTCTAAAACAATGCACAGACCTGCTCAGTTTTGGTTTAAAATCAGATCAAATTAATTACCTAATTTGCATAATGATTCATAGTTTTTTGGTCCTAATCACATTTCAATGAAATTTCTTACATAGATGGTTTGTGACAGTACTTAATTTAATTAATCTTGGTACATATACTGTCTATCACAATGTGATGATCTAATCAGTATTGGGTAAATATACATCTATAATAATTACCTAATTTGCGTAATAAATTACTGCATAATAATAATTTCAGCTTTCCTCAAATTAATTTAGGATTAAGGATGTGGTTATTTTCGTGAATTTTGCTTTTTTTGTTATTACTTTTGTAAAGTTATTGGGCTCATAATGTTATCAAAATTAAAACTGAAACCTAGAATACCCTTTTTTTTAAAAAAAAATAATAAGAAAAACTACTTGTATAACGGGATACTGTACAATTTGTTTTTGAGATGAAAGTCTGGACGCAAACAATAACATTGACTTATTGCGTAATTTGCATAATCCCTTCACGACAGAAACAGTGCACACTGAAGACGACGCGGTCATATCAACTCCGGCTCCTGATTATTGATCAATCACAAAAAAGAGGCCCCAAGGAAAAACTCAAAACGCAGTTCAGAGGAAGCAAAACTTTACCTATAACAGAAATGCGTTGCATCACACTTTGAGTATTCAAACCAAGAGGGTAAAATTTCGTCAGCAAACATGATCAATTTCCATCTTCCAAAAAGTCAGGCAGACAAGTTATGCAGGGCCGCCGTGTACTGTAACAACTTCGCTTCTTTTTGGAGGACGAATACGGACCCAAAACTTTATAGTTTTGGATTTTATTACTGCAAGGCTACTATAAAGTGACTCCATGTTATGTGTTTTGTTGTAAAAATCAGTCCATCTGATGCTTTAAATGTCCAAAATTAGCGCAACGTGACAAATGTTTTGTTTTTTGGCGTTTCTAGGCAGAAGAAATCTGATGCCATAGAGGTCATTCAAGTGAGTTGTGCGTTGTCAGAAATTGACCTACTTTCATGAAATTCACACACATTGATACGTATTGGCGCAGATAAACCCCTTGAGCATTTTTTGATAC